GTCCGATAATATTTCACAATTATATTAAAATAAATAAATTCATACCTGTCTTTAATTTGTTTAGCCATTGTCAAGAAAGCTTGTTCAACATTCGTAGCATTCTTGGCAGATGTTTCCAAGAACGGAATACTCAAATGATCAGCAAATTCCTAAAAATGTGTAAATATCTCTGTGAATTAAAAAAAAATTTATTTCATATAAACCCATAAATCCTTAATAGAAATGTACCTTGGCAACTGTATATTCCACAACTTTCTTATTTTGCAAATCGCTTTTATTTCCTACCAATAATTTGTTAACTCCTTCACAAGCATAACGATCGATTTCCTGAAGCCATTGTTTCACATTATGAAAAGTATCTTGATCAGTGACATCATAAACAACAATGATTCCATGAGCACCACGATAGTACGAGGAAGTGATTGTTCGGAACCGTTCTTGTCCTGCAGTATCCCACTAATGCATTTTGAAATCGTAATTTATGTTTATGATTGTTTTAATAAGTCAAGATTCTGATAAATGAGGACAATAAAAGGTGCATGTGAAATCCAGTAGGTAACTTAGAAATATATGAAGCATACGATTTGTAATTTAACAGTTTTGCCCTCAAGCTCGATAGTACGAATTTTCTATAGGAAAAATTTACGATTATTGTAAAGTCTTAATTTAAATAGAAATTTCAACTTTTTATTTTCCAAGATTAAGAGATACTTACAAAATCGACTCCAATAGTACTGATATAACTTTCTGTATATGTATCGTCAGCAAAACGAAGCAACAGACAAGATTTACCGACCCCTGAATCACCGATCAAGAGAAGCTTGAAGAGATAATCACTAAATAATAAAAATATGAAAATATGTAATGTCAGTTCATATGAAAATGAGATTTGGCTAAAGTAGTTTGTATAAGGTGCAGATTTAAGGTGGCGCAGAAACTTATAGAGATGATGAGAAAGAGTTCTAAAACTACTGGTAATGGCCACAAATAACTTTATATCGCTAAGAATACCTCTCTACCAGGGCTTTTTTGCCTCATAAAGCGTCATTTAACTACTCCGTTCGTTTAAGCGTCAAGCTATTCTATCCAAAGTCATTCGGAAAAGATTAACACTACTTACTATTCCGGATTCATATTGTGAATTATGAAATTAGTAAGGTTATGAGTAGTAAATTATAAGTGTATACCGTTAAGAATGCAATAAAGTATAAGAAATCAAGCCAGAGAAGTTAACTACTAGCTTTATGGTTATGATAAGGAAGATGTACGAAGCGGCCAACTACCCCAAATGTTTGTGAATATTCAAAGTTTATATATGACGTGTGGCGAGGCGAATCGTCTTCTCATGTGATACTCCTTTGTCTAATCCCTGATTGACTTCGTGTAACTTGACTTTTTATACGTTATATTGTTAAATTTTTTATTTAAATTTTTATCCATTTTTGTTTGATCAAAAATCCTTAACGTTAAACATGATCATTTATTTTATAAAAAAAAAATAAAAATAATACTAATTTTGGTATGTTTTTTTTCGATACGTATAAAGAATATTTTACGTATTTCCATTTTCTTGGTGACTGCATACTACGTACTTTTACAAAAATCGACTCTAGAGTAAATGATGAATCCAAATATATAATTAGCCATTTTATCTTGAAGTCAGGAAACCAAACACAGCCCGCGTATTTTCACATCCGATGTAATGTCGATATGTTGCCATAATTAGTATGAATCGCTCAATATAATTAATTACTTGCCACGCGTTTTTAGAAATGTCGTATGAAATTGCTGCGGGAGGCGGGAAATTACTAATGTACTGTACATTAGACAAAATTGGTTATCTGAATACCTTTGGACTCTTTGGATTGGACGCCCAATCTAATATCCAATCATGATTCTTGAATACTAGGTTTTGATCCTTTTAAATGCTTCATAAATTTAATTGGTCGAAATTATATATATATAGGTACTAATATGTATTTATATAACTTAAGATCTAATTAATTAGACCTTTGACATTTAAAGTTAAATCAATCATTTGAAATTAGATGTTCAATATTTAATCAAGTCTATTGAACATTAAAGAGTGTCGCCAAAAGAAAACTTACACATTTAAATATAGCCTATATATAAATGTGTATGTTTTCTCTTGGAGACACTCAAATATGATACCGTAACACTACTTATTGCGTAAATTATCATTAGGATTATATTCGTAGGTTTTAAACCCAATTTCGATTGGTCAAAGTCAAGATTGCAGGGTATAAATCAGTT